GGCTGTGGGCAGCAGGGAAGGGTATATTAGCCATCGGCTGTGGGCAGCTGGGTGGGTATATTAGCCATCGGCTGTGGGCAGCTGTGTGGGTATATTAGCCATCGGCTGTGGGCAGCTGTGGTTGGCAGGCGGCGATGTCCAGCACTGCGGATTGTTATGGGAAGGTGCTGATACCCCTGTACTCGTGCTTTACTAAAGGTATTATAAAGAATAGTGGGCTTTTATTACCTGGGAGGAAGTATTTTTATACTGAGATGAAAGTAGATGAGCATATTTTAAATACTAGGTCAGTCCCACCCCCTCACAGCTGCCCCAGTCCAGCCTGTTTTAAGACCTGAAACTAAACTCTCAGGCGTTGGAGCGAAACTCATATTTGCATGAACTGAGCAAGATGGTTCTGCTGCCCTCAGAATAGAGCAGGCATATGTCCCCCAGTCCCCCTGGGGTTAGAGTGAGGTGGGGGCTCAGGCCATGTCACAGAGCAGCAGATTGTCTCACATGATCACTGACGGTATTCAATGGGGTTAACAGTTTCATGTACTTTAGTTACATTGTGACATAAATAGAGCAGCAGATTCTCTCACACGATAACTGACTGTCTTTGCTGTTTAATTAACTATTAATTTTATTTTGGATACAATTTGACAATATGCTTATTGAGAAGGTATACTTTCCATTTGAAATAATTGTGGTATGTGAAATGAGTTCAATTAGAATTGTTTGCAAATCTGTTTTATGAAGAAATTAAAAGTCTCTCAAAGGGATGATTTTGTATTTTTGACAGGAAAAATAGAACAATGTTTATATTCAGGCTTTAAAAGTCTTTATAATTATTGAAAAGTTCAGAATCATGTCCTCACAACAGTGTCATGGTGACATCACTGTGTGTTTGTTAAAATAACCAGAATTGATGACAGTTTGTCAGACAGAATGAAATATTTATTTATCTCTGCAGCATTCAGCTATAAAACACACAAGATAATACAAGGAGACACAAAAGCCTATAAAACATCAGTAAAGATATTCACTCATGGATCATGCAAAGCTCAAGTCTGAGGTGACGCTGAGCTCATCTACTCTGAACAGTCGGCTCTCTTCAGCGTTTGAGTGACAGCAGCCTGGGAGCCCTGATTGGCCACACAGACCACTGAGCCCGCCTTCTTCCACTCGTCCGCAGTGAGGCTCAGGCTGCTGCTCCAGCTGTACAGGCCGTCCTTCTCCAGGAGCCCGCGGCTCGTCTCCGCGGCTTTGCTTTTACCGTCCACCTTCCAGCTCAGCTTCCAGTCGGAGGGGAAGCCCTTGTTGGCCAGGCACATCAGGGTGGCCGTGTTCTTGCTGGACACCTCCACACCGGAGGGGGGCAGGACCGTCAGGGTGGGGGCTGTGTTACCTAGTAGACACCAAAGGTACTTTAGGTCAGAGTCCAAGGCAAACTTTAAGTACTGTGTGACAACATATTCTAACTGCAGTATGACATAGGCTAGTTGTCAAAGTCTATGACTTTATAAATATTTCTTCATATATGATGACAGACATTTCCGTAAAATCTAAAGTAAATAATGTTGCCTTCTTACTGTATCACAGTGTATTCAATGAACCTTTTAAACACATGTGAGGTATGTAAATGTGTATCACTGATTATTATGTTCAACTGGTTATAGTAATCCAAATTTGTATAATAACCACATTGTTTATAAAGATAAAGATCTATTTTCCATGTAGGGTCCTTTATTTACTCAGACACTGGTTGAAACACTGCGAAGAGATCCGTCTGTCAGACTTACTTTATCTCGTTAAAACTATCTATCGAAAT